TTAAGAAGAATTTTGGGGGCAATTTTGAGGAATTTTGGGGAGGTCCTGAGAGGGATTGGGGTGGGGGGGGATTTAAGGAGATTTTGGGGGGTCCTGGAAAAATTTGGGGGGATTTTGAGAGGTATTTAATGGAATTTTGGGGAGTCCTGGGGGGAAACTGAAATAATTTCAGGGGGTCTGGGGGGAATTTTGGGTGAATTTGAGGGATTTTTGGGGGGATTTGGATGAAATTTGGGTGGGTCCTAAGGGAATTTGGGGGAATTTTGGGGGAATCTGAGGGATTTTTGGGGGGATTTGGATGAAATTTGGGTGGGTCCTAAGGGAATTTGGGGGAATTTTGGGGGAATTCGGGTAAATTTTGGGGGTTCCTGAATGAACTTGAATAAATTTAAGTTTTTTTGGAGTCTGTGGGGAGCTTTAAAGAGAATTTTGGGGAAATTTTGGGGAGCTCGAAGGTCTGGGGAAGCCTTTGAGAACCAAATTTTGATTTTTTTGAGGAGATTTTGAGGGGAAATCGCCAAGTTTGGGGGATTTTGGGGAGGACTGAGGAATTTTGGGGTGGAAAAAGGAAAATTTGGGGATGTTTGGGGATTGGGGGGGGGTGCAAGGATGAGAATTTGGCGAGATTTCGGAGAATTTTGAAAGATTTTGAGGAGATTTCAGAGGATTTTGGGGCGATTTCGGAGCGTTTATGGGAGATTTTTCAGGATTTTAGGGAAATTTCGGAGGATTCTGGGGAAATTTGGGAACATTTTTGGGAGATTTTATAGGATTTTGGGAGGATTTCGGAGAACTTTGAGGGGATTTTGGCGCTTTTGGGGGCGATTTTGGGGAGATTTCGGAGCATTTGGGGCTGCCGGGAGCCTCGGGAGAGATTTGATCGCTCCCGAAAAGAAATTTTGAAAGAAATTTGGATTTTTAGAACGACAAAGTGAGCTGGACGTCAGCGGATGGAATTGAGGGGCTTTGAGGGGGTCAGGGGAGGGAATTTGGGGCATTTTAGGCGAAATTCCAGCGATTTTCGGCCTTTTCAGAGCCCGGAGCCGCCTGAGGCGCCAAAATGGCGGCCTGAGGGAACCGTGAGGGGCGAGGGGGGGAACGGCGCCTCGGAGCGGCCCGGGAAGGCTCCTGGGGGTTTGGGGGGTGGTTCCGAAGGGATTTGGGGTCGTTTTGGGTGGATTTCCAGCGATTTTGGGGCTTTTTTGGGGTTTTTTTAAGGGCCCGTCCCGCCTCCCCCTCAGAGCTCACCGGAGCCGGAGCAGCCGTCAGCGCCACCTAGCGGCGCGGCGGCACGGTGAACGCTCAGGCCACGCCCATCGCCAAAGCTGATTGGCTGAGCATCGCTAGCCACGCCCCAACCCCCTAGCCCCTAAGCGTTCTGATTGGTTGCGCATCCTTAGCCACGCCTACGTCGCTGCGGTAACGGCGGAAGGGCGGGAAAAGGAGGAGCCCCCGGCTCTTAAAGGGGTAACGAGAGGCTCTTAAAGCGGCGATGGTGGCGGTGGGGCCTACAAGCGCTTTTTAGGAATTTTGGGGACCCCCGGGAATTTTGGGGACCCCCCGCGACTTTGGGCCCCCGGAATCCTCCAAAACTCTTTGGAGACCTTTTAAGAACCCCGGGCTCCCCCACAAAATCCTCAAATCCTTAAAACGAACCCCAAAATTCCCCCAGGGCCAAAATAACCCCCCTCAAATCCCCCTGGGGACTCCAAAAATTATCTGGGACCCCCAAAATTACCCCAAATCTCTCTGGGACCCCAAAATTGCCCCAAGTTTCTCTGGGATCCCCAAAACCCCCCCCAAAAAACCCCTAAAATTCCCCCCAAATATCTCTCAATTCCCCCAAAAAATTCACGAAGACCCCCCCAAAAAAATTTCCCCAACCCCCAAAAATCCACAAAAATCCCCCCAAAATTCTCCCAAAGATCCCCCAAAATTCCCCCAATTCCATCCAGGACCCCCCAAAATTCTCCG